CAACGGACTCTTCTTATGGATCGGAGGGTAGTCGGGGAACTCTTTGACGGATGGGAAATACTTCATGTGGAGTGTTTCTCCATCAAACTCTCTGGTGGACCACATGAAGATGGGCTGGATGATGACAGATTGTCCATTCTTCTCACCGTCCTTCATTCTCTTCAGAGCATGCTGGATCTATAGACACAATATAGTGAGGTTCAAAGTCGATGGAATAGTGTGATGCAAGCCTGCGTACCTCGAGAAACTGGTTATCGTGCTTATGATGAGCATTGAGTGGCTCGAGTCCAGCCTCTGAGAGGATCAGGACAATCACATTCGATCGATAGAGGCCGTTGATAAAGCCTTGCGCCCAATCCATTCCATCACTGAGACAAACAGTGTCCAGATAGGGATGGATTGCTGTTTGACCACGCGGAGGGACGGCGAGGGTCCCATGCAAGGTGGTCGCATTGATTGTGTCACTTCGGACCCGATAGCTGTGGAATCACTTATTAGAATTATGAAATGGAGCAGAAACTGACGAATCACCACGTACCTGATGAAGACATCGTGCCTCACATAATGTTTTTTGCACTTCCAATTCAGGGTCGGTTTTACCGGAGTGTACTCGCTTGGATCCAGGAGACGCTCGGACGGAACAAAAGTGGGTTCTGTCAGCCTTGGTGACTCCTTTGGTATATCGAGCCTGGGTGAAACATGATTTTGTTGTGCAATCTTGAGCTTCATGGTGGCACCATCATTCAGTCCGATCTTGGCAATCTGGTTATCATCGAGAGCAAGGAGCTGTGGAGTTCAAGAGTCAGCAACGCACTTGGTTAACATTATGAATGACAAAGCACACATACCACATCGACGGTGTCGTAATCGCGCTCCTCAAAACGGCCCTTGTACTTAGTTAGTACATTGTCCTCAAGAAATTTATGGAACGCATTAGAGCTATTGCTTGGTGGACGCTCGCTCGTGGTGCTTGTTTTGATTGACTCTGTTTGAATGGTATCGTTGACACTGGCTTGATATTCGGGAGGTGGAGTTGGGAGAGTGGTATGCAGTGGCGTTTCATTTCCTGCCCTTTTGTCGTCTGATTTGAGTTCGGGAGTTGCTTCTCTACCTTCAGTCACACTCGCTTCCTGGACAATCGAAGTGGATGCTGGTGCCAGATTGGAACTGGAGGTGGAGGCAAAAGCTTGACGATGCCTTCCCTGCGCATTCTTGAGGGTTTTGACATGGCCAATCTTCAAGCTGATGTCCTTCATCTCTCCGTCATCTAGTGTAAGGAGCTGGCGCACTAATTAGCAATGCGAGTCAAAGTACCGAGGATCAAAGCCGAGGTCAAGCTTACCAACTCGATGGTGTCCAATCCATTTGCGATGAAGAGATGCTTCATTTTATCGAGTCCACATTTCCTTATGAATTCATCAAAAGCTTTAGATCCTTCAGTCTCTTCGGTCTCTTCGTCTTCATTAGAGGTGTTTTCGATCTTGGATTGAATGTCGCTGGGTTCCTTGGTGTTAACTTTGGAGTTGTTTTCGATGTCGAATGAGTGAATATCAGGTCACATGACAAGCTGATACGAATCGAGCCAATATCACTCAAGCCAAGGTGAATCGAGTCGCACTGAACTCGTGGTTCGATCCGATATCACCCCGGCGGCGGGAGTTCGATTCCGGACCACGTCGCCGAGAGAAAATGGCCAAGAACTCATCCTGATTCATCACAATCCATGGCCGCCGATTCGAATGAAACTATTTCACGGCTATTATTGATCAAAATCGACTCAGCAACCAACGATCTCCACTGACCTGGTACTTGCTTCTTCCGGTGCAGCCACCAGAGGGACAATAGTCCGACGAGGGCGGATACGACGATGATCCACAGGAGCATCGTGGGTGAGATCAGGACGAAGAGAAAAGGGAGGACCGGGGGTTGGGTGGATGTTTTATATCGTCCTTTCTCCGGGTGAATTGGGGACCCGAGCCCCCAAGCTCGGCCATAGCTGCGCGATGCGAAAGGGGAAGGACGGACGCCACCAACAACGCAATATGTATAACACCTCGTCAAGTAATATACAACCGTAAGTGTCTGTGGATGCCGATAGGGTGTCAAGCCTCACGGCACGAGCCTGCTGCGCTGCCAGGCGGTGTCACAGGCAAGACACAACTTGCGCATGAACCCGATTGGATCGAATAACCGGCTTGGACTCGGAGAGGGAGCGAGGAAGGCAGTTATCCTTTCAAGCTCAGCCTTGTCTCGAAGTGACATGGGATGGACACTCAGAATATCAAGTCGAAGGCACATCATCGAGTCCAAGTTTGAACCCTAGGACTCGACTACACATCGCGTAGGTCGGGCTATTCATGTTCCAGTGTGTTGACGGGCGCCAATGCAGTGTCCGCTTCGGCGTTGGATGCAAGGCTGGGAGAAATGAGGCGGGGACCGCGGAGTGCAGACCTGCCTCTGTGGTTTGGCACCTCCGAGATTGCCCCCTGTTGTTGGATGAACATATCGTCTGATTATGAGGCGAAATCAACAGGGAAATCTGTGGTTTCATTCAACTTGTTTCTCCGGGTATGCTTGTATCCGCTCCGGCGCCTTCTGTGGTGGTCATCGATGGGAACTTGAAGTGGGAGGTCGGAGATCGTAGCCACCAGGCTCATGCTCGAAAAGTTGCAGTGGCTCATCGATTGGAAAGGCTATTCAGTTACTGTTCCCTGAGGAACCTGGTGAAGCTTTGGAGAGAACGGACGTTCCCTACGGACTGGGGGTGATCACGGCCTGGATGGCCTGGAGATGGGACTCAGAGAGGTCAGAGGAGGAAGACATGGACAACAGGACGGGAGCCAAATCGAGGTAAGTGGGGTTGCTGAAGGTCTTACCAAGTATCAAGACCCGATGGGGGCTGAACTGGGCACGGAGTGTCGATCTGGCATCGGTATGAGGCAAATGGTGATGGAGGAGCAGAGATCTGCTGGGGAGTGGGGAGGGGCAAGTCCGCTGCTCCAGCAGCGGCGAGGGCAGAAACCCCCGGATATGAATATCGCGAGCAGGCGACGAGCCAAAATGCAATCCACCACGGAGCAAAACCCCTATCTCCAATCGTGGGGATCGAACCCAGGTAGCCTTTGTGTGAGCCACTGGATCAGAAGAATGATGGATGATTCCAGGGTATGTGTCTGGGATGGATACAAGGGTTCGACCTGCCAGACTCCACGATGTCGGTGTCCAAACTGCTTTCTTGCCAACACTCTCCGGAAGAAGTGGAAGCACCGCCGAACCAAGGGCAGAACTCTCCCCGCCACATAGCTCACACCCACGACGACAGCGATGATGATGCCCCCAGAAGATGTTCGGGTTGGTCGAAATGTAGTCGGTATAGTCAGAAAACGCCATGCTGAGAATGTATTGACTTACAGATAAGTCAATAATAACGTTTGCAGCAAACACCACGACGCTCATTCCATCTGACGCAAGGCGAGCTCTGCATCAGAATCGCCAAGTTCAGCTGCTCTGGCGTACAGTTCCTTGGCCACCACTGGGTTTCTGGTAACACCCACAACATCGGAATATCGGCGAGCCAGGTGTCGCATCGCTGGGGAAAGCTCCTTTGGGATATCGCTGATGATGGCGTTGACCTGGTTGTCGTCAAAGCCATTGAGGTACTTGAAGCGGATCACCTCAAACGAGAACTCTGACCCAAGTGCGGCTGCTTGAGTGTGCATTTCGAACGACATGATAATGGAGCAACTGTACCACGGCCAGACTGATAGCATGTTGCGAGTCCCGAGATGCCCTCAGCAAATGACTGATCAGCTGCCTTGGAGAAGAACTCGAATGCCTTGTCGTTGTCCTTCTCTACACCATCACCGTCAAAGTACGCACAGGTGAGGTTGTACTGTGCGCTCGAATGTCCTTGATCGACGGCTTTCTTGAACCATGATACTGCAATGTGGCTGTCTCTGACGATGCCGATACCGTCATAGTAGAGGGTGCCAATGCCATTCCGAGCACAGGCCAGACCACCGTCGGCTGCGAGAACAAGCCGTTTGAGGCACCTGGTCGAGTCCTTGTCGACATAAATGCCATTCAGGAAGCACATTCCAACCTCGAAGCAGCCACTAAGGTGTTCCGCCTCAGCAGCCTTTCGGAAGTTGCAGAATGCTTCTTGGTGATTCTTGGGGACTCCGATGCCATCTCGGTAGCATCGACCAAGACGAACCTGTGACTCGGCGCTGTTTCTCGCGGCCAGGATGGAATACACCTTGGCAGCCAAAACAGGATCTTGCTGGTCGAGGATGCTGTTGGTGAGATGGGGCCCGATCGGGATGATTGATCCATTGGGCTGCTTCTCCAGACACCCAGTCAGTAGCCTGGCGGCTTTCACATGGTCGATTGGGAGACCAATACCATTCTGGAAGCGAACTCCCAGTGTGTACTGCGAGGGTAGATGACCATGCTCGCAAGCCTTCATGAGCCACTTGGATGCGATGCCGTCGTTCTTCTCGACGCCATCTCCCTTTGCGTAGCAGTGCACCAGTTTTGCCATGGAAGAGACGCATCCAGCATTCCCAGCATTGACCAAGGCCACGATGAAGCTCCTCTGTGGTTGTGGGCCGGGTGGTCTGGAATGCATGGATGTGGTATTCTCTTGGGCATTGCCAAGTGCGCTCTTCTTGGCAATCTGGGAGAGTGATACGAGTGACGACTTGCATTTGGTATGATGGTGTGCGATTGAATGCGATGGAATGCGATGTGGGCGGAGCAGTGGGCGTATATGGTGCTGGCCTCGTCCAAAGAGCGATGCTGGGCCAGGATGAACTCGGTGTTATACGAGTCTCTGCCCATGCGAGCACAGTCGGTGCATTTCATCTGGCCGTCGGCTCCTCCGGACTTGCCGTTTGCCGCTGCTGCCGCTGTCGTGCCAGTGGCCCCCTGGTCTTGCACCAGCCAAGCGTCCGGACGAAGGCTCTGGTGTGTCAGGTCGTCCAGTTGGCAGGGTCTTGAATGGCACCCGAGTTGAACATGCCGACGATGGCCTCCAGGTTCGATAGCATCATGATGGCGCGGGACTTGTATGCGTCTCGGAACTGCGGGTTGATCCAGCTGCACACGCCCTTGTAAGTTGTGGTGGCATAGCGATAGATGCTCTCTTCCAAGACCTCGGCGTGGTCGGGCGTCTTTGCCTGGAGGGTCTGCAGGGCGATGCTACGCTGCGAGTCCATCGGGTGCTATTGCATATGCCGAGGATGAAACCCTTACTGCGTTTTTTCTGACACGCCCTTCGCAGCAGACCAATGTCAAGTCAAATCTGGATCATCGTGGCCGTTATCGCTCTGTGCTGCGTCTCCTCATCGCTCCTGACTGCAAGTGGAGGATTTGGGCTCTATCAGTACAACAAGACCCACTCGACAACACCATGGTCCTGCATCTACGTCCCGACCATCAAGATGTACACCGTTGCACGATCAACCAGAACAACGCCGAGTGTGTGTACAACACCGGCAGTAATGGCTGCTACTACTTCCCAGTGAATCCAAGTGCCGCCACAGGTGATGGTAGTGTCAGTCCGATGGATGAGTGTGCTAACATGATCCAAAATGTACCCACCCCGACCACCCTGGCCTCCCAACAGACGCTGAATCTCGACATATACACCTGTGGACCCAACTCGACCAACTACAAGCTCTGGAACCGCACAGGATACGAAGCAGCGAGCGACCCGTGTGATGTCATTTTGAACAGTGACAATCGCTCGATCACCAATTTACTCTTTGCGCCAAGCACGATCACCATCAACTCGGCATACCCACTACATGCTGCGTCTACTTCTTGAGTTTGCTCACGATGGATGCTGGCGATGGCATACCGCCCGGTCCGCTGCTGCCGCTCCCGGAATCGATGCTCTGGTAAGCATAATACCCGATGGCCGCAATCGACGAGATGCCGCAGCAACAACAGAGACATGCAGCAACCAGGGCAATGATCGCTGTCGAGTCGAGACCGGAAGTCGTCTGGTCAGACGAGAACTGGCTCGATGTCTTGGTTGTGTTGCCCTGGGCAATTTGAGTGATGTCTTTGTTGTCGAGCATGCACTGCTGGTATGATTTGTTGGAGTTGGACTGAATGGTGCCGATTGCTGTGGCACAGGGTGCGAGCTGGTTCTCATTGGTGGGAGGCTGAGACCGCTATCGGCCTGCTCGAGCGGTTGGGGACAATTGTGGATTCTATGGATCGGCTAACATGTATATCCAATGACAACGATCACAGCCAAGTATCCAAGTCGGTTCACTGGAACGGGCATCACTTGTGATGGAGGGTGTGTGGCTACCATCGAACGACAACAAAACGCAGTCAGTGGATCAATACACATGTACATCATGACGCCCAGCGATGGAGCTGTCACTTGAGATCTGGGGCGATATCGCCTCGTTCCTCGACATCCGATCGTGCTTGACACTGACGCCCTTGCCATCGATTCCTCGCATTTCATCAACCCGCATGGGTGGATATGATCTCCCAGTGCTGCATCAACACACGCGGACGCTCTCTGATCCAAGTGGTCATGCGACCGATCTCATTGATATGGCGTATGATAAAGCCGTATAGTGCATTGCTTTGTCGTCTCCTCATGGATCACCATCCTGTCTACCACTGCCTGGTTCATCCTTACTGATTCAACCACATGCTCCGACTTACTGCTGTCACTGGCCTCTCTGCATCGGCGCTGACCACGAATACCAGAAATAACGAAACCCCACGCGATCATCTGATGCGATCCCTTATGAGGACCAGAGTCGCAGCATTCCAAGAGGACCGAGATTACATTCACGAGCAAACTTCGGTCCAAGACTGCATTTCATGACCGAGTCACTCAGCTCACTCTCATCGACCATCGACCCAGTTCTATCCCATAACCTGGGACAAGGACGACCCTCCCGTCGCATCTTTGTCCAGTACCCCTCCTCCTCCCAGGAGTCCATGCATTGCGCGCCCCTCCATACTTGAACCACAACACCCTGGTGGAAGCCTCGCGCAAGTGATCTTGGCCATGACCTCTGCAATCTGGATTACATCTTGTCCGACCATCAAGCTGGTGTTGGTTCTGGTGTGCTACGAGATGCAAGGGAATGAGAAAATGAGGGAACTAGGATGGACATGGTTGTGAGCACTGTGTGTGTGTTGTGGGGTTCGATTCCATGTTCGATTCATGTTCGATGAATGTGGCGGTGCCTGTGGCAGTGCAAAGAACATCGATTCCAGCCATCAAACCATCGGATCGAGCCAGGCTTGTGTGTGTGTTCAATGGCCAGTGTATGGCCTGCCATTGTTTGGCTTGCTTTGCCACAAATTCCCTCGCTGTCCCCTGTCCATCTCCATCATCCACTTTCCTCCATCCCACATTCAACATGGCCAGCATGATCGAGTCTGCTCCAACCACGGAGTCATCTCCCACTCACCAAGCTCAAGCTGAAACCAGAGCAACCTCGTCGATGCCCGATATCACCCAATTCTCACTCGAGCACAGCCCAGATATCTTCACCATCATATGCTGCAACGACAGCTTCCAGCTTGCCCTCGATCACAGCACCATCAAGGCTCTCCTCCGAGTGTGTAGGCATGTCCAGCCTCTCCTGAGCTCCAAGGTGGCTCGCTTCCACAGCTGGTGCCAGAATGCAGGCTTGTGCAATCCAGATGGACAGATGCGAATCGGTCTCACACCGAGCGACTTGATTGCCATATCGCTGCATTGCGACGATCCGGTCACAGCCGACCGATCCTGGCTCGAAGATCAAGCCGATATGGGCAATGGTGCTGCCTCGTATCTCTTGGCTCGAATGCTGCAATCTGAGATCGACTCACAAACAGACGATGACGATGAGCCTGAAGAGTACACCAACCGTCAGCAGATATTCCACCATTTGGAGAGTGCCGCCCAAGCCCAACATCCGATGGCACAGTTTCGCCTGGCCGAATGCTATCGCAACGGTGTCATGGTCGACAAAGATCACACCAAGGCCGTCGAGCTGTATCGCAATCTTGCAGATCGTGGAATCCCTCGGGCGCAAATTGCCCTCGGCCAATACTTTGAGAATGGCGAGGGTGTCGAGCAAGATTATAACAACGCGATCGAATGGTATTCCAAGGCCGCCGACCAGGGCAGCGAGGATGGTCGACTCCATATCGTGTTCCTCCGAGGATGGTTCTCGTTCGTTGGCCACAATGTCGAACAGAGCGATGTCGCTGCTCTCAACCATTGGCAGGAAGTGAGCACCAAGTCGACTGACCCAGTCATCAAACCCATCGCCACCCACATGGTCGGGTGGATGCACTACCTCGGCCGGGGCACCGTGCGCGACGAGCCAATGGGTACCAAGATCATTCGAGAGAACAAGTCGGATGAGTTCCCACTCGGGGAAGGCGAATGTCTGGCAGCGAATTGGGCCCCAATCAAGTCCGACCTACCCGCACCCCGCAAGTTCTTCGAGCTGTGCCAGCTTGGATCTGAAAGGGACTGGCTGTGCAGACATCTCATGGCTGTGTGTGTGTTCCAAGAATTCGGAGCCACAAATGACCGGGAGAAGGCAGCTGGTATCTTTGAACAGCTCGCCAACGACGGCCACAGCGACAGCCAGTTCTGGATCGGAGAGTGCTATCAATACGGCAGAGGAGTATCGCAGGACCACAAGACGGCATTCGAGCGGTTCAGCAAGTCGGCCAACCAAGGCAACTCATATGGACAGTGGAGCGTTGGTTTTTGCTACTACTGGGGATGGGGAGTCACCGAGGACCGCACCAAGGCAGCCGAGTGGTTCCGCAAGTCGGCCGAGCAGGGCAATAGAGACGGACAAAACGCTCTCGGCGACTGCTACGATAATGGCTGGGGTGTCCCTCGAGACATCGACACCGCCGTCTTCTGGTACCGCAAGTCCGCCGAGAATGGAAATAATCCTGCCATCATCAACCTCGAGGGGCTCGGCAAATGGCCCTGATTCCCAATTTCCACTCCCAAATAACCATGTCACAGCGCGAACATGCAACCAAACTGCGCCTCCCCTACCCATCCAAGACACCATGACACCAAAGAGTGGACTTGCAAAGTGATCCCGATCAAGCGGCAATGGCCGTGTAGTGTTGTATTTGGCATTCAATACATCCAATGCATCCAATATACAACAGTGCTGTCCCATAAGAACCGCTGATGTTGATCGACCGGGAGAACCATCCGATGACTCGACAATGACCACTCTATCACCACTGTCGATACTCGTTCTGCAACCATAGATGGCGAGCACGATCCAGACCATCCCACGCCACATGGTACCGACAAATGGATGGCAAAGGCGACGAATGGCCTGGATGGCAAAGGCGACGAATGGCCTGGATCCAAACGGGCAGAGGTTCGCCTCTCCAGCCGCCAAGGAAAGAAAATGGCCACACTGCAGCTTTCTGGTCCACCCTCGATCCGACCCAGGGAGGCCGGGGCACGCCAGCGTATGTGGTAAGACCATGAGAGGATGAAACCAGTCCACTGTAGTGCAGCCTGGCGACTGAGAGAGGACTCTTTGGACCACGAATGACAAGTACCATTCCCTCTCGATCCACATCTTCTGCCAGGACACGAGCGTCGTCAAGAATGATGTCATCCGTATCTATGCCCACCTCAATACCGGTGCCCACGACCTTGCCCAGTTTACCGACAAGGCTGATGCCACCATGGGCTGCCAGTTCGAGTTCCCGATGTGGAAGGAGCTACCACTCTCAAACATCCTTGGCCGCCTCCTTCGAGACGAACACCTGGCATTCTCCAAGGCACTCAATACCGCCAAGCACTTCAGAAATGGGACACTGTCCCGTTTCATTTTCCCAGAAGGCCGCAAGGTGAACAAGAAGCTATCGTCTTACTGATTGCACTCCCGGCATTTTTCCAACAGCCTCGCCAATTTCATCGATCATCAGCAGCGATACTTTGTCCATCAAATTTCAAAACCTGATCAAAGTTTTCATTCCGAGGTCATATGAACTTGGCCAAGCATTCTGCGATGGGGCTTGAACTTGGATCTCATCCTGATGCAAGTGAACTAGCCATGCCGTCAAGATAAACGTTTGAGAAATTTGTCGTTATCCCATCTCGCTTTGTGCTGATGGTATCGAGAGACTGGGTCGTGTTTCTTCGGGACTCGCCCGGGCTCCGCTGGAGGGGTGTCTATTGTTCCAGAGAGATATTGTAGATTGATTCAAAGGGTCAATGTTTCGGCAAGTCCGATGGCAGTCCATGCGAACTCCTGCTCCTTGCCTTCCAATTCTACCCACATAAATCCCCGATGCCATCGCCTACTCGGCTATAGCAATCGAAGCTCAAAGCTTCAGAGCGACAAATGGCTCTCGGAGTGCCTTGGCGTTCATCTCGTCACACTCAAGGTGGCATCAAGAGCTTTATCGGCGATCTCGCTACCGCACTATCGTTTGCACACATACATCGCGTCCGACGAGTCAGTTTCTTGGATGTTTTCCCATGATGACTTGAGCTTGCTGAGCTCGAAGTTGGTGAAACTGGCGCACTTGATGAATATGATTCCGCACCGAGCTATTTCGTCGGTGGCAGATGTGTAAGAGTGAGAGCGCAGTCGTTGGCAATGCCACCAGATACAGCACAGCGTTTGGGAGACCTACTCCTAATTCTTGGCCAATGTCGTCATGTGATGTCCATAGTTGGACCCGTTGACCGCTCGTCTTTGTCCTCGTTGTCGATTCAAACGCTGGATATTGATGACTTTTATCGTACAGCAATTGTGATCTTTGCTCTCGTGCATGGGCTACGTCGTCACCATTTCTTGCTTTGGGTCCTCTGCTGATTTGCCTTGCTGCCTGGTGAGACTTTGGGGTTCGCGACGGCTCAGTCTCCAGTGGCGCCGTCTCCAGTGGCTCAAAACTGGTCGAATAGCGTTTGGGAGAGATGGTGGAGCTTGAGATCCACTTCGCACCATCTGACCGCCGGTTGGATCTTTCAAAAGGTGAATATCGGGGCGGAGAATAACTCTCAACGTCTCCTTCCAATGGCTCGATTAGTTGCTGTGTGTGGCTAGCTGCTCTTCTTCGCTCCTGCTGTTGACGTATCCTTCTGTGGATTGGACGCAAATCAAGATCGGTCAAGCGCACACGATATTCAGACTCGCGTGCCAGCATGTCCATCTCTATTTCCTTGAGAAGGCGCATGGACTCGGATGAAGTTGAGGAAGAAAAGCTTCTGGAGAAGCTCTCAATCGGAGCATCCATCTTGGGACTGGGCAGCTGATAATTCACTGATGAAATCGGTTCATGTTGCCCCACAGATGCTGATGTACTGAGATGGTGTGTAACTGGAGCAGTGGCTCGGCTTGTGGGTGCGCTGAAATCGACATAGGCAGTTGAGCTAGGTCTCTCGGACCCTTGCTCTGTTTCAAGTGAAAGGAGAGGATTGGGAGTTCGTCGTCGGACTTGTGGGTAGGCGTCGTGTTGCTGCGATCCACATTCAATTGCTTGCGATGGAACGCCTCTCGACGGTAATGGGAACTTGCGACCATAGTCAGCAGGAGCCAAGGGTCTTTGAAGCGACTCCATGGGATATAGCTGATGTCTCGCCATTGTGTCGCCTGACGAAGCAGGATCGCGAAGGTCGCTCCGGGGAATCCCGTCATTCGATCCATACAATGTTGTTCCACCGGCCGGCGGTGGGGGAGTCTGAGGCAGCGGCGCCGAGTTCACCTCATCCAAGTCAAAGTCCGGGATTTGATGACCAGCCCTTGTCTTGATCCAAGTTGGCTGTTGAGGCTGAGGCAAGCCGCTCTTTGTGTGAAAGGAATCAGTCTGACAAGCGGCAAAGTTGGTTTCTATTGGTGATGAGCCTGGTGGTCGGCCGGATTCGACAAAACGGCCTTGTGGCTGCTGAATGTTGCATGCAGTGTCGTTGGTCTGAGGACAAGACATGTCCAATCCAGCGTCTGGAACGGACCCATTATGATCCAGAACAAGGTTTTTGGTATTCGAAGCAAGCGAGAATCGACGTCAGTTCTTCCCATCGAGCAAGTCCATCACAGGTGCCGAATTGCATGGCTTTGTCCAGAGCACCGATATCCAGAATTGGTAACAGAGCTCACTATTGGCAGGGGCTATTGCGGCTACCACGCACTCGCCCATTCTAGAGTCAGGTTGAATGTCTATACAAGCTGCGCCATGATCGATACAAACCATAAAGGTCGTCGCCAGATTGACTATGCGAGGCATGCCATGATTCGCTCGCAAGATTCATTTCCCGAAAGGATTCCAGCTCTCTATCAACCCATTTCATCTCGGCCTCGTATGCAACCCTGAGCTCTTGGATAAATTCATCCAAAACCGAGTCATCGAGTTGGAGAGCGTTGTCACAACCAATTTGATGTAGCTGCTGGCGGACTTGGGACCTGGAAATACTGAAGACTGGAGAAGCGGGTGGAGAAGTTTCGCTCGCGGGGATCGCTTCCGGACGACAAGAGGCGTGGCTAGCTTGAACTTGTTGGCCAAAGCGATCGCCGCTTCCACCGGGAGGCTCGATCATTTTACTGCGGCCGTCGCGAGGGTCGAGCGACATTGTGGCTCCGAGGGTCACGGCAGCGGTGAAGCAGCCGGTGCAGGAAGCAGCCGATGGAGGAAGCAGAGCCGCCAGAACCCACCCAGGGACGGGCTGTTTGGGGCGGAGAGACTCACTCCAGCCGGATCGATCCAGGCTCTTGCTCCTTGCGCCGGCCTTTCCCCTGCGCCGCTGCGCTGCGCACGGCCTTGCGCCTTTCCTGCCTTTTCGGCGTTTGCGTTTCTTTGGCTCGGGATTTTGTTCTTGCGCTTCATCTGACCCGCCGTCCATCCATCCGTCTCTGTCCCCTCGAATCGGTAAGTCGACTGCGCCGCTGGCTGTTCTCCAGACCCCTCGACTCTCCGGCTCCTTCCTCGGAGATGATCGATTCCCGGCGCCACGTCGACCACACTGCCCCAGTGCCCAGGGCCCTCGACCGACACTCGCCATTAAGTCGTCAAACACTTCTCTCGTTCTCGATCATCCTCGACGTCATCTGATCTCCATCTTCGCGCCTTTGGACATCTGCCACTGCGACTTACATCGCATCTCTAATCTTGCAGCGCCATGTCGAGCTGGAAAAACACACTTTTTCAAACGGTAAATGAATCTGCCTTACCGATCGGCAGGGCATATGCACCGTCATCGTTCCATCCGTTTTCTCCCCCTCCTCGGATATTCATCCTTTCTGACATGCCACTCTCCCTGGCTCTCTCCATCAAGATCGATGCCATCAAAGCCCATGGATGGAAGCGAGTCGTTTGGCAGTACAACACCATGTATGCTCTTCGCCCTGCCCGAGCAGTTTCAGACGCTAGGACATCCGGCCGACTCTGTCCTATCCAACAACGACGCGCCGCTGGTTCTCCAGCGCTCGACAACGTCGATCGTCCTGACTCGGCGATCATCTGCTGTGCTACAACCTGCCTTGGAACCTACAATCTGACCGACCACATGCATTTTTCTCGATCTTCGCACTGCCGTAGTGATCAGGCCAAGGCTGGAACGTTTGTTGGAAAGGACTACCTCGGAAACGAGTACTACGAAAACAAGAACGATGTCGTTGGTGAGAGATGCGACAATAGGCCACGCTGATCCAGCTCTTTGCGCAACTGGTCCATCCCGTGCCCGCCCTGCTGCCCCGACATCCACTTTGGATGAACTCTTCAGGCCGTTCAATTGAGACGACGCCTGTCCCACTCCTGAGACCTGCCGACTTTGTTAACTCCGTTCGCCCTGTGCTTCAGTGAGAGACCGCTGGGTTCTCTTCAGCCGCTGGAACTCCGATGCCTCCCAGGTCCCACCGGAGTGGTAAGTGCCAGGCACCGAGTGACAGCCGTCTCGCGCGCTGCTTTGGCTTCACGTCGCAATTTGATGCACTTATGCACGTCTCTCGGCCCTCAAGGGCATGGGCTCGTGAGACCGGCAACAGAGCTTACCTGTCCCCTATTTAAACTTCCTGCCTGAATCCTACTCGACCGTCCACTGATCGACTCTCTCCATGGAACACCTCGGATCTGGGCGGGACTCTCCGTCAATTACGTACCACTCCGTCGGACGGCACCGCCCTCGCGATGCGCACCAATGGGCGGCCGATCAAAGGCACCAGTGGCTCCACCGCATGACCGACGATATCCCCACTGAAAAGACCCTGCCCAAGCCCGCCAAGTACAACCCACCCGCTCATATCGAGAACCTTACCGGCACAACTGCTGCATTCAAGACCTACAGTACTACTGTCCCCAAGATCAGCGGCTGGACGCCCTCAGTCAAACCCCGTGGCGGCGATCTCTAAGTCATGAATCATCTGGTCCGACGAGGCCCTTAATTGGCCGCCAACCGCACCTCCTCCCTTGCACGTATGCGTCAGAGACCTTGATAAAAATGAATATTTCACCATCCCTTATAGTGGCCCCGTTGCGTCGTTCTGAGTCCCGGAGTACCCATAACCCACATATATCGTAGAGCGATCGTTATGATTCAGAGGCACCCATGTGTGACAAACGATTGACATGTCAGCATAGCGGCATCCGGATTGTTGGGCGACGGGTCCAATGCCCCCAGATGTCCAGCGCATCCCTGAGAGGTGTTGACCTCGTTGGCTGGGCGCATCTGGATCGAGCCTCGAGGAGAACAGTGAATATCTTGGATGTCCAGACATCTGAGCAAACATTGATCTGCGTCAACTAGTTATGGATCACTGGCATCCTCCAGGAGAAGTTGCCAGAGCGATCATGACCTGGAACGCACAGTGAGTCGCCCCAGTCAGAACAGTCTATTCATCTCGTAGAGGATGGTGCATTGCTATTCTGATCAACAGTGAAACAACTCAAGTGTCGTCATCTGAGTCACGGTAATCTCTGAAACCAGAATGGAATATGGCTGCTGATTTAGTCACAATGACCTCTATATTTTCCAATTCACAAGACCTCAAATGCGACGATCAACATTGGAAACTGGGGAAGAGGGAAGAGTGAAGAGGGGAGAAAAGAATGGAGAGAAGCGGGAAGAGGGGCACGTGCATACGGTTCTTTGGTCCCGAACGACGGGAAGAGTAACAGGCAATCAGGCATACTGCCATTCTCGGAACCTTTGTGAGTGCCATGTGACAACAAAATGGAATCGAATACGAAAGAAACAGCCGAGATTCAAGCAACGGCCAAGAGAGAATAACAACTTCAGCGCTTGCTCGGGGATTCGATAGCAATCAGTTTCGGCCGGTGCGGCCAAAGATGCAAACCTCGGGATACTCCTCCTCCTTCATCGGTGACGGAGAAACCGAAGGGGCCGGGAAGTATCCCACTCGATAGAGATATCTCAAGCACTTGTGCACAATCTCATCAGCCGGAGGGCTGGGAGCTGGGTAGATTGCACGAGTATTGGTGTTGTTGATCTGGATCGACATGTCCATAGTGACATAAAGCAGCGGGAACAGCGGATTATCCTTCATCGACGGATCGGCTTCAAGACGGCTTCGGGACAGCTCTCGAGTCTCAGACAGGACTTTCCAGCCATACGAGTTGACAATCTCAAAGATCTTGTTCTCGGAAATAAGACTATGGGGTAATTGGAGCCGCGAAAGCCCCGAATGTAAGTTACAGTGCATAAGCGAGAGAACTTTGGCCAGGCGCGATGCAGGAATCGATCAAGTCTTGTTATGTACTCTCACACATACAGGCTTCCAGAAATGACAAACTTGTAAAGTCCCCCCCCCAAGCCGAATCTACCGCCCAGCATCAATTCGTCTTCATAGCTGCTGATGCAGAGGCGTTGGGCTCGTCTCGAGCCATTACAACGAGACACTCGACGGGATGGAGCCAAGGGCCAAAAGGGTCGGTCTTTGCGAGAGATTGGACCCCGCGTGCAGGCACGGCAGCCTCAGTGCGAGCGTCCGCCCGAGAAACCACCAAGCCGCCGTCGCTGCCATCGTTGTCGTCGTCAGGGCTGTGGGGCAGCAGGCAGCAGAGGAGGGATTTGATATCCATCGCGGCGATGCGAGACAGAGCCGGCCAGAAGAAGACGGCGCTTGGAGCCCCCAGGAAGCATTTTTGGTCTTCGTTCTGCCTGGTTGTCGCTCTTGGGCAAAATCGGGTTGGCTCGTCGCGTTCGTGCGCGGGACAGGACGGGGGTGCGCGCGGCGGTGCCACAACGATGAGCACCAAGTGTCGGCCGACAAATGCCACCCACAGGACCAGAATCCCAGTAGCCACGCAATGCGGAATGCGGAATGCGGAATGCGGAATGCGGAATGTGGAATGTGGAATGTGGAATGTGGATCGCGGGATCGCGGCGTGGATGCAGCCCGAGTTCTTCACCCGGGGGCTGCCGATGATCGCTTTGGCCGTGTATTGCTTGTTGGACATGGGCGCTCTCGGACGATCCTGACCCCGCTCTCTCTCCTGGACCGAGTGCATCAACGCGATCGTCCCCAATCGGCGGGGAGAGGTGTCTGCGGCCCAAAGAGAGAGGCTCGGCGCTTGTACTTCTGCTGCGATAAATCACCAATACCAAAGTCAGCGGTCGATCAGCAAGTGGTCAACAGACCCAGACTCACGGTGAACCACATCATCAGGCGCTCGTGAGCACTTGCCTTTCGCTGAGAGAGCCGCTCGGGTTGATCTGTAGTTCTGTGCCACACATCCAACCAGCATTAGTATCGTCGCCCAGGCTGTCCCGAAGTCGTCCAGCCATCATCTTGTCGCCGCCGCTTCGAATGTCCGCTCGACAGAGCACGTCCCTCGAGGCTACATTTCGTGACCCGAAACTCGCCGCCAGAGCAATCTTCAGGGCCCAGAGGGGCATTAAAGCATATGGGGTTGGAGTGGACGGCCAGCTATACCTGAGATCGCCATCGGTTCTCAGCTCGGGCGTCGACACAGTGGACCGAAGCGAATGGCTCGAGCCACGATCACCTCGGGCGGATTCTGGGCCATCCTCCTCTTCGTCTTTCATTTCAAAGGTCTCGCGGATGCCCTTGAGCAGGAACAGGATCTGAGTGCGAAAGAGGACCCACACAAGGATCGCGCCCAGGACGATCCGCTGTAGGAACAGCTGCAGCATTCATTGGCAAAAGCCAAGAGAATGGGAGGTTGGTGAGCGTTTCCGAGTCGAGGAAGGTGGCCAAAACGGCATCAAACGCGCGAGAATCGGTCGCTGCTGAGAGGCTCCTTTCGGCGATGGTATCGGGACGAAGACAAGCACAGCTCCGCACAGCCAAGCAACAAGCACATGATCCGCTTTCGAGGACCTGACTATTCGGCCAATCGAATCACACACGAATGATGGCGAGACCCAAAGCGATGCGGACCATGGCAGGGTTTGTGTAGCGATGTGCAGGATAAGAGACTAAATCGGGACCAGTAGGGATAGCAACCAGCAGAGACGACTTGCCTCGTTACGGAGCGCCTCGATCTCGGTATACATTTGCGCGTTTTGCAACCGGAGCTCGGCGATCGACACCCCCCAGGTCTTCTCGTAGTGCCGATGCTGCATAGAAGAGACGGCATTAGATTGCTTTGGATGATGTCCTGCGCCGGCAAGTGATCGAATGCGCTCCGCATTGGCTCTCCGAGAGCCCATCAGGCATCCGGGGGTGCCAAACGCTTGATACAAGTCAAGAGCCAATGACACCGCCCCGTTTCCAAGCGGGCCAAAGTACCAACTTGACTTGGTAGCATGCAGATGCCTGATCCGGGCTCGGCAACCACCGCTCTATCAAAAGCGATCGACCTTGGACCACCACCACCACCACGATCCCGCACGAGAACCTCACCATGTTCTGCAGTAAAAACGTCAGAGTGCTGTTCATCTTGGCCTGGGTCTCGGTAAGCTGTTGCTGGTAGCCTGTGTCGAGCTTGGCAAACACGTTTGTCATGACTTTGGCCATTTCGCCAATGTACTGCTCGAATAACTCGCTCTTGCGGTCCAGGCTATCGATGCGCCGCTTCATTGCCCGAAAGACGTTTTCAGAAGAGGTACTTGAGGACGGAACATTGCCATTGGCACCGCTGGCGCCATTTCCGCTGCCTCCGCTGCCGATGGAGCTCGATCCTGCCGAGGTCATTGCAGATGTATCGGCTGATTCCCGTGAGACGCTACCGTCGACATCTGCAGTCTCGGGCGACGGATCAAAGATTGAAGGTACATTCAAGCTCCCTTCGCCGCTAGAGATGCGCTTGAATGCGTCTTGGAACCGCGACGAGAAACTCTGGAGGGTAAACGGCGACGACGGCGATGACGAGCGGTCGAACGAGATCCGACGGCGCCCAGGTCCGTCAGTGTCCTCGGGGGGACTGACAGGCAGATCAAGGATGTCCCAAATGGAGGAAGGCGGAGGCGCTGGAGGGTCAATCAAGTCACCAGCGTCGGCAGTGTCGCTTTCCTTGTATTCCTCCATCATGGTGACACCGTAGGCAGCAATGAAGCTGAGGGGACAGTAGTATTCAGAGCCATGGTGGGTGAGAAACTCAAACTTGAGGTAACGCGACCATCCCCCTGGGTTGGGATTGCGGATTTTGAATGTCTATGGGCGGACGGAAGGAACGGCCGGAAGGGGCGACCGGGTGAGAGCCCAGGCAAGACCCAACCGGCAACGTATATCGGCAAGTCTAGGCACGACCGGTGCTAACCCTGAACCGCGAGCCGACCTTGGCGATAAGCCCGGTCGACGCCAGCGACAAGAGCATAGATTGTAGCCCGCCCTCTCACATGCACCATGACAGCAAGTGCAGCCGGCACTCTATTTCGTGCGGAGGATTTGCCTGCAGTTGAATGATACGCCCACATGGCGGGCTACACATACCTGAACCTGTCTTGAGTTGACTGCCACAAACGATCCCAGGGGAATCCACGAGTTCTGATCCGGGCGATACCGGCTGGCGCCATAGACATTAAAGTCGCGAATGGTGCTCGAGAAGAGCTCAAAGTTGGCGAGCGAGAATGAGTCCACCTGAATCTCCTCGCAGAGCTCGATAATGACAAACTTGGAAGTGGAGTCGCACCGATTGAGCATGTAGTCGTCCTTTTTAGAGTTGAGGATATTCTTGACCGAGGTCGCTCCGCGATTGGCCTTCAAGATCAGGGCACCACAGTCGAAAGAAGCATAGTTGAAGCGCTCCGAGGAGATTTTCTGAGAGAGCTCAGGGATCCATGCTGGAGGCACTGGAGGCGGCGAGGGCGATTCGGGGACGGCTGAACTTGCCCGAGCCGGGACACTGGGTGTGGTCAGCGGTTCGGCGCTGAACTGAGACGGCCTCACCGGGTCGGTCAGGATCTCCTTGGATGTGGCTGTGGTGGAGTTGTCGCTGTAAGGCAAGATTGGTGAATGGGTGTGATGTGATGTCGAGGTCGAACTGTCCACGGAGTGCGACAGAGAGGGCTTGAGGTCGGTATGGGCGAGGCATGCGGTTGAAGATGCCTCGGAGAGGCTTGTCGGGTCAGGCGGTGTATCGATGGGTGTGGGGGAAGCTTGCGAGGGCACAGACGACAGATCGAATGTGTCCGTCACATCGGCTATGGCTGGCCCATTTGCACTTGAAGATGGCTCCACGCTAGAATATGGCTGCTGCGGGGAATCGGCATCATCGGACAGGGCTGCTGATGGAGTTTCGGTCGTAGCCAAAGCTGGCCTTGCTGTGCTGCTGAGTTCGTGGGGAATGGGATCGCGGCTAATCATGCCTGGAGCGCTGGGCAGGTTCGGCTCTGGGTCTCCAGGCTCGGTGGAAGGCAATGCAGTCGCTGGGACTGTCGCAACGGCATCTTCACAAGAAACGACGGGAGATGCATCCGTGGTCTGAAGCAATAATGAGGTCTGGGTTGGGGTGATGGTGGGCTCGGATAGCGACGGCGGATCGCGCGATACTTCAATCGAGACCGGGGGATGGGTCGAGGGCGATGTCTGAGAGAGAACGGGCGATGATATCGTTGGATGTGGCTCGTGAGTCAAGGGACATGACGGCACAGAAGGCACCGGCACCGGCACGAATGGAGGCGAGTTTGGGCAAGTGTCCGGGGCGAGCAAAGGCAAGGGCATCGATGGTGCGGAGCGATTGTGACGGTGACGGTGACGGTGAAGGTGATGATGATGGTGATGATGGTGATGATGATTGTGGGTGATGATTGTTAGGGTGATGCTGATGGTGATGATGATTGTGAGGGTGATAGCGATGATGGTTATGGCGATCCTGGGAGAGCGGCGCAAAGGAGCGACCAATCCCATGTCTCGTATCACGTGTATGGCACGCCGTGGCGCAGTGGACTGCTGCGCCGCGCGCCTTGGTCGGCATTCGAGCACACGATCCAAATCGGGCAATGAGCTATTTTCCTGGAAAACACAGCCCATAACCCACCATCCATCATCCATAATCCATAACCCATCATCCATCATCCATCATCCATCATGGCCAAACAGCGTGGGGATTCGAGACTGGAAGGCCGCAGTCGCCGGCTTCTGTGCGCCGGCTTGTGTCTGCAGCACGGCGGCAGCTCGGGGTGCAAACCTGAAACCAAGGTGCCGTCGCGGCCAGTCAAACAAAAGCAACAGAACGCAAGCAACGGGGCACAATCGTCGTCGATTTCCATATTTCGACTGGCGCTGCGCACAGGCCCGAGCTGCGTGGCGCTTGTGTCGACGAACGTTCCACCCGCCGAACAACCCAATGTTCGCCTTGAGCGACGACCAAGTGACGACCAAGCAACGACCAAGCGACGACCAAGCAACGGCTGAGACCCCCTCCCCGATCGCCATGCCCAAATTGCACCTTCCCGTTGCTGTCACTGCCCGGATTGCACCGACACTTCTGTCGTATCGACTTCCCGATAGCACCACGCCCCGACTTGTCGCCGCATGGCTGTGCTTCTCGCATCGCAAGCGTCTCGAACGACCGAACATGCACCACCCGTTCCGCACTTGCTCCACCCGCAGGCGCATTCGATTTGCTCGAACCGCATCCCTTGTCCCTGCATCGCACACCACACACCGCACTCCATCTGAAACACCCATTTGCCCTGCCGCCGATACCCGGCCTTGCTGACCCTGTTGCCCTGACCCGCCCTCAATGCGTCGTCCGTTGCGCCTTTGCCGATACCGTCATATCGCCACCTTCACATCGAGGACCGCCTTGCCTCGGTCCTCGATTGGACGGTTTTCAAGTGACCCTCCCATGTTGCACAGTCGACGACCAACATATGCACTCCCATGCCGGCGCCGCCGTTCCAGGGCCGCCATCGGGGACATATAAACGCCGTGCCCGTCGCCGTCTGGCCCACCAGTCGTTCCTCTGACGGGTTTGCCTGAGGCTTCTTTCCCACTCCTGCTCCATCCTATGTCTCTGGTCTGATTCTATTACATCCACATTGTTCAGTCTACTTCTTGTCTTCGCCTGATCAAGCACCCTCTCAAGCCCCCGCCTGTCTTCGCCTGCCTCCTCCCCATCAATGTCCGACGCTTCTACCTTCTTCCTGCAGTATGGTGGCTATGCCGCTGCCGTCGTCGGCATATTGGCCGCCGGCGTCTCTGTCGCCAAGGTCGTCAAGGTGTCTGGCAGCATCAGCGCCATGCGCTCGACCGGCGAGCTCAGCGAGTTCTACTCTCGCCAGGGCCTTTGCGGCATCACCTACCGCACCCTGTTCTGGGCAGCCTGCTTCTTCACCGTGGTCTCCTTGGGTGCCTCCATCTGGTCTCTCACCAGCATCGGTGTCGCCGAGTGGACGACTTGGTGCTCCGTCGTCAGCGCCCTGCTCTCCCTGGTCTTCCTCAACATCATCCGTGAAGGCCCTCGCGTGACTGCCGTCAACGACCCTGCAGCCCAGGGCGTCACGCCCCACGGAACCGTGGCCGACCCCACCATGATGGAGGTTCCCATCGACGACACTGTCACGCAGCAGATCGGCAAGCAAGTCGACGCCGTCGGTAACAAGGCTTTCTCCAGCGGCATCGGTGCCGGTGCCAAGGTGCACAAGGTCGCCCATAACACCGGACACTCGGTCGCCGATAAGCTGGCCATCGGTGCTGCCGTTGCCACCGTCGTCGCTGCCTCGGTCTTCAACGGCGTCGTGACGACGGCCATTTCCACCTCTCGGGCTGCTACTTTTGCCGCCGGTGGCTCTACTGACGCATGTGCCTTCATCCAATCCTCTGGCGACATGAGCATCTCTTCGGCGTGCTGCGGCGCTGTCGTTAACTACCAGTCCCAATGGCAAGACTGTTACAACTCTGTCTCGAACTGGGAAAGCCTCGTTCCAGATAATGACCTCACCATCTCCAACTGTGTTCAACAGGCGGAAAACACATGGGTCTCCCTCAGCGACGCAACGCTGCAGCAGACAGCCTACTTCGATGGCCAGGTCCTCAAGTGCATTGGCCCTTATGTCAGCTCGGAGTGCTCGACCCTGGGCCAGCTTCTGGTGTCAAACTGTGCCTGAGTTTCTTGATCCCGCTCTTGGCGATTTGTTCTATCCATAAAGATGTAACTCTCCCGCTCGCAATGGCACGCATTGAGAGCACACAACGCAATAAACGAACAATGTTGGCAAGTGCCATCGTTGCTGAGATATAGCGGGGCGCCTTTGACGGTGGCATCTGTGCTAAACGAGGGCAGATGTATTGGCGATGGCAACCAGCATGGAGCACCAAACGACTGACCATGAAAAGGCGCGACTGTGAATCGGAGTGTGGGATGCATTCGCTGCTGCAACAGGGGAGCCGAGGTGAACAGTGGCTGCTCGATTTCATTCCGGATAGGTGGTCGCATCGCTTGGTCGATCAAAGTGGAAGCCAGCGCCTTGGCCAAAGCGATCAGACGGCAGGCTGTGGAAGCCTCTTCAAGCCGCTGTCTCTGACATCGACCTTATGATATGCTTTGCCCGATGCTCGATGGCCCCGTGGCTTTGTGACGGACTGTATGGGACAGTGAGTTCAAGAGATCGGTTGTTGTCGAGTGGCCGGCCTCCGTCGCGCGACAGCGCCGCAGGATCCATCGCCGAGGTGGCAATCTCTTGGATCCGCTGTGGCAGGATGCTGAAGAGCATGTGCCAGGCCACAATGACATGCGAAGCCAAGAAGACGATCCCCGACCGCAACAAGATTAGCGAGATGTTGGGCATGGAGGTGGACAGGATGGCAGCGAATCCGATGGCGCCCGTCGACGAGATACTGTCGTTGCAGATGTAGTCGAGGTTGCGGTTGCGGTCGTTGCGGTTGCGAATCGTGGGTGCAGAGTGAAACGAGAGAATGCCGGCCCGTATAGTGCCAGTGAGTCGTCAAACGATAGCCTCTGGTCCATCGTCTCACAGACATTCCGCTTTCCCTTCAGATATGCGACTACGAGTGCAATCGGCTCACAGAAATCATGGCACTGCGCAGCTGCCAGGGTCAAGGGAAAGGACCTTACCTGATCACCATCAACAGGTAGAACGCCACCCGGACTGCCCCCAGACGAAGGCTCTGGCTCGTCGGCAGCAGCGACGACCTTCGATCTCGGCTGGACCGGCTGCCCTTCCCAAGACGGCTCTCGAGCCCCGAACTCAGTGCTCGTGCCCAGCGGTTGAGTTTCCAGTGGATCAATGCGGCCGTCAGGAGCCATGTCGTCGACACAATAAAGGCATAGAAGGCTTGAGCGGCTGTGCGCCATGGCCGCAGGCGGTCGACGAGCGAGAACAAACAGTATCCGACAAAGAGAAGGAGGTTGAAGGCGTGGCCGGCGTAGTCCTGAACCACATCCATAACCATAACCATAGCCACATTCATATCCATATCCATATCCATATCCATATCCATAAAGCCGTTGGAATCGAAAGTTAGTCTCGTCGGCTGTACGCTACGGATATCGACGAGGAAACGAAGCAAGAGATGCAACCACGCATTACCCAGAGCACCGAATACTGGAACACGGCCTTCAGGAACTGAATCGAGCGATGTGAAAAGTGAATGGTGATGAGGCCATAGAATGCAATGAAGCAGTTCGAGACCTTGCCCAGGATCGTGGAGAGTTGCATCTGTTTGGGCAATGGCCCCAGAGAAGCGACGAGTTGAGAGCGGGTATGGAAGGTGTGCCATGCCAAATCCACAATCATGGGTGTGGATGTGATTTCAAACATAGACCGCCGTCTCATTCTGCTGTTGCCGGTGGATAGACTACCAACAGAGCAAGGCAAACCACAGGACAGCACCATCAACAAGAGCCAAAACCACCCACTGTGTCCTGGGAGGCTGTATCGTTGACGACGTCGAGCTGCAGTGGAACCAAGATGGCGCTGAGAACCTCGACTGGGGGCATGACCTGAAGCAACACAGGTTGGAAGCACAGAGCACAGGCGTGAGAAAAGCCCCGCCCCAAACACTTCCATCATGGTGTTGATAAAGGTGAGCCCAAGTGGCTCGATTTCTCACGAAAGAGCCTGAGGAGAGGAGACAACCGTGACTGACCACAAAGACCAGGAGAAAAAACAGGGCATTCAGAGAGCTCCAAAGCGGAGGGCATCCAAGACTCTTCAGAAAGACCAGGAATATGTAGAGGTGCATGGCGTAGGCGATGGAAAGAATCCCATATTGCCCTCGGAGCGACATCTCTGGTGAGATATCGGTCATGTCCCGCAGAAGATACGAGGCTGTTGGAAGCTTCCGGAAATCCGTTTGGCTCACTGGGCAATCACAGCAGCCTCGAGAGAGCCAGGTCGATGAGACCCTGACGGGAAAGGATGGCCTCTGGATGCCTGCGTGATGGAGCAGTGTTGCTGGTGCCAGCAGGGCTGAACCGTTTGGATGGAGGGCAGGGAGCTCTTCCACAAGCTTCGCCCCAAAGCCACGGAGAAACCCATTTTCGACTGCCTGACTGCGTCATCGGTGACGAAGGGAGTCCTGGGATGCCGATATGATTCAGGAACGGGCCGGCGGATTTGACGTCGACGTCGATGAAAGCCGATTCGCGGTGACGTCGCTTGGGGACCTCAAACGGTTGGTGAGCTCGAATTGTTGGCGAGCTCGAATGGTTGGCGAACTGGAATGGTTGGCGAGCCTGGATTGTGCCAAGGGAGTATATATGACTTATGGCCTTGGTGTCCATGGATCATGACTCCCGTTCCTGCGTTCACATCGGCCTAGGAACATGTGTATCAGCACCAACCATGCATCTCGAGAAACATCATAACGACGACGCCGAATCGATGCAGGCCCACTTAGAGTCGCCACTCAGTCAGCACATAAAACGCCGGCTTTGACAATCTCACGGACGCCATGTATATTCCTCGAGCTGCTATACATTACAATAACCAAACAGGGCCCGGGCAGCTTCGCGTTCAAACGATGAACATGCGATGCAAATCGGAGCAGTCCCAGTGGTTTGTCGTTCCCCTTGCCAGCATGATCTGGCGGATCGCTTCCTCAACCATGTGTCCCTGGCATCCGATAAGTTGCTCGATGCCTTGGAGCTGCTCGGGAGTGGGGAAGTTGCATTCGCCGTTATAGAGCCGTAGGATGGCGAGAAGCTGGCTGTCGATCGGCAGCTTCAGTTCCGCTGAGCAGTGACCTGGGAACCACCAATGCGTCTCGGCGAGGTTCTGCTGCACGGTCGTCAGGGCCACCGACGACCACGGGCCTTCAGCGTTGGCGTTGGAGTTGGCTGTGAGCGCTGCCAATACGCCATCTGCCTCACGGTCTGAGACGACAACTCTTGTACCGTCGGCCAAGACCACCATCGCCGATACCATCCGACTAAGGGAGATTGGGATGTTCGCATTCTCATCGTCCCAGCATCCCGACTTGAAGGATTGCTGTATGGTCCGGACAAAGTTTTCGCTAAACTTGACCATGCTCGCAAGGCCATGGTATGCCCATGCCAGACGGCGGAGGCGAGTCGACGGGGCCAGGAGTGTGTTGAAGGCAGTCTCCATGTCATATAGCGCAAGCCTGTCGATCCTTGCAAGGTCGTTGGCATTTGTGCAGGCCAAGATATCCTCGTATCGCCACAAGGGCTCGGAAGAGGGCGTTACCGACACCGTCTGCGCATGAATCTCGGCCATCTGATCCTCCTCTTGTTGGATCTCTCTTTCGCATTCCTCTTCCTTTTCTTGAACAGAGACCTGGATAGTCTCACCGTAGTCTCGGCAATGACGGCTGATGTTGTCTAGCGACCCTCGATGCCTTTCAGAAAGGGTCGCTGTGCTGCCTTCAACCAGCAACCGACTGTGATCGTCGACGACATCCGGCAGACTCGCCTGGCCTTCCGGGAGGGAGTACATATGCTCAAGATCCCAGACATCGTCCAGAAGCGCCTTGTCGGGATCGTCGGCAGTTGTGTGGTGGTAGATGCCTTGGCGGGCCCAGTGCATCAGGCCGTCGGCGGTTACTTGCATAGTGTTCGACACCACCCATCGCAGAATCCGAGCAGCTTGCGTGCGGCAGTCTCCCACGGCGTCCTCGATTCCGGCCATGACCGCGACTTCATGGGATCCGTAGATCCAGAGCCGCTGGTTCTTGTCGAGCTGACGGAGCCGCCCGGCACCCTGAACAAGCTTGTCCTTGGTGAGCTTGAGGCCCAGTGTCAGCGCAGCGACGGCGTCGGCAGCCAGCTTCATGTCGGCTCCTCTCGTTCGAGCGTCATCAAAAATGACAAACGCCTCGCTGTCGGAAATCGGGCTCGACTCCTTTGGGACCACGGACTTTGTGTGGATGTCGAGCATCTTCCACTCGCCATCGGTTCCGCTATTGACCTCGAAGAAAATGACGCCCATGAACTCGGTGGGATCCAAGATGGTGGCCAGGTGCTTGGCGGCCTCCAGGTTCGAGACACCCGAGAGGAGCGAGCCTGTGTCGATGATCGCCCTGAGCTTACGTTCGGCGACCCGATCGAGCAGCGTCCTCCACAAGGGTTCGCCTTCGGGCGAGCGCACCAGCTCCAGGCCAATGGTTCGGTCCATGATGAGCTGAATCATCTTGCCGTTTGTAGCGAGGAGCTCGTCGACCTCAGGCTCGTTCTGGCGCACGCTCAAAGGAAGCAGCAACGAGGTATCGTTGGTACCGGAAAACCCGATCGCAGGACTCGATCCGCAGAGATGCCACGGGGTTCCCAGCAGCCGCTTCGAATACTGAGTCATATCTGCCTCAATGATGCATGGATTCATCCAGAAATCGATGAGCTCCATCGAGTGAGAAAAGCATTGGTAGAGCAGCTGCCGCTGGATTGAGTTGGACAGATCCAGCTTGGAGACGTTGTCGATGCTCCGCCGCAGGTCGTAGTCACAGGTGGCCAGGTGCTCCTTGATAGGTTTCAGCATCCTGTTGTATCGATAGGTCTGTGCCGACGGACCGAGTTTCAGAAGCATCGAAAAGGCCTCGACGAGCTGTTGCTGCGTCAGCCCGTTCTGATAGTACGACAGGGCGGTCAGTGTCAGACACACATCTGGGTGACTGAACTCGGATCGTTCTGAGGGCACATCCGCTGCCTTGAACGGAATAGCCATCCGGCTCATCGACAGCGGAGTCAGACCGTAGTCGACCCGGTATCGGAGCTCCAGGCAGTGTTCGAGGACGCCGTGAGCCAACAGGCCTCGCAGCATCAACACCTGGTTCCAGTGGCGAACCAGGGTTTCAGTGGCCGATTCTGTCCTCAGCGAGGCTCTCCGCGCTGATGGTTGAGTCGCAGATATACGAGACAAGCCGCTGGATCGTCTCCGCGTCGTCGAGCGACCTGACCCATTCCAGTTCGTACGGCGGATCGGCGAACAGCGCCTCGACGACTTCTCTTCGGAAGGTGGCGCGGATCTCGCTCTTGGGCGACATGGGCAGCAGCCGGAAGGCGCGGAAGTAGCCGACGGCGTGCTGCAGATGCGGGCGTTCGTAAACGGACTCGACAGCCATGTTGTCGCTCCGGGTCAGGATGTGGGGGTTATCGTTGATCGCCCGGAGGACGGCCTCGATGACCATCTCCCGAATCGTGACGCTCTCGAGCGACGAAGGACTGCCCATGGCGTACACAAGCTGGTACTTGTGGTGCAGCAGCGCATCGCTTTCGTCGAACAGATCGATGCAGTTCTTGTTGATGTTACCAACCAGTTTCTTGAGACTGCTGCTGAGCTCGTGGTCCTGAGCAAAGCGGGTCTCATGGATCTTGAGCTGGAGCGAGAGGGAGTGCTCCGGCGACAGCACGACCACAGCCCCGCTGTCGCGGCATACTTTCCAGATACTCTTCATGCACTGGATGGTGTCATGGGTCGTCTGGACGCGCCTGTGGAAGGGCAGATGGACAATGCCGATGCAAAACACCGAGCTTGCTGAAAGGGTCCGGTGCAAGTACTTGCGGACCTCAGACAGAAGCGCCCTGAGGACATAGACCCTCAGAGTCTCCCTGGCGTGGGCGCTCCAGTAGAGGATCATCATCGGCACGATGACCCGCGTTTTACCGAGGCCCATGTTGAGCTGGGAGATCGACCCGGGGTTCTCGATCAAATGCTTTGCCATTTGATACTGCTCTCGGCGGATCTGAATGCCTTGCTCGACCTCAAAGGCCAGCCACATCCGATTGCAGTCCTTGATGGGGTGCTGGATATATATCAGCTCCTGTCCAAGGTGGGATCGGTCGCAAACGAGCAGTCGATTGAGCTTGTCTTCGAGGACACTGAGCTTCATGCCGAAAACGATCCAGGACTGGAGCAGGTCGACCGACTCGGGTGTGAGGGTTGGGGCAAGGCGCTCCAGCGTGACCCTGTCGAACGAAGCCCGCACCAGATCCGCCAATGTCGCCGCCGGGATCCAATTGACGGCCTTGCACAGCTCCAAAACTACGGATCCGTGGCAGACCCGATGGGTGGTGTGGGACCACACCAAGGCTTCGACATCCTCGCGGCGTTTGGTGACCTGGGGGAGCAGTGTACTGGCAATAAACTCCCTGAGGAGCTCATCGGCCTCGGCTCGGGCAACGACATCGCGGCGCGACATGTACCTCGTCCAGCTGGTCTCCAGCTCCGAGAGAATCCTGTTTTCAATCGAGTTGGTGCCATGAGCGTCCAAAGGATAGATTTCGTTGGCACGTTGACACGGGCGCTCTTGGACGTAGCTGGCCAGAATCGAGGCGATGTACTCAAAGTACATTCGGTCCTGGTCATCCGGAGAGCGGTCGATGACTCGGTCGCGGCCGGCGTCCAGATGCCGAGGCTCATCGAGGAGATCAAACCCAAATTCAGTCAGGGTCAGGGCCCTCCTCATGGTGTTGTATACACGGGCCGAGCGCACCTGGTGTTCGTATGCCGTCTGGGCTTCCTGGACCTGGGCAAAGGTTCTCCCAATGATCTCATAGTAGCCCGCGGGTCGATCATCGTGATCGATGGAGGATTTGGACGCATACTTTTGATAAAGCATGCTGACCCTGCTCGAGACAACGAGCAAGTGGTCGCACAGCAGAACCAAGAAGGGCCAGGGTCTGGCAACGTCGACGATCGACTGGATCATGGCGACTTCGCTTCGGGTCAGGGGGTTGTTGGTAATGCATCCACGCAGCAGCCTCGCTGCATATTCTGCCCCAGTCATATGGATCCTCGGCTCGGGCAGGGCAGTTCCCGCGGCCGCAAAGATGGCTGCGAGTTGAATGCGGGAATTGATGGTGCTGGCCTGCAACAACCCAAATCGATGGTGCTCATCAAAGTCTGTGCAATTGATGGTGCCCAAGCTTTTGTCCACGACTTGGATGCGGACCACATCGCCTTCGATGCACACAGCGCCGAGGGGAACGATCCACTTGTACCGAGGCCCCACGCCATACTTGGCCATGCGCTCGAGCACCAGGTACTGCTGGAAGCTCGGGATCAGATCGCCAAACTGCTGCTGCTCGGCAAGCTTGTAGCCCTTGTATGCGTCCGATACCAGTACATCGTCACGCAGCGTGAAGGAGACTCCGGGACGCGGCATGATGATGCGAATCGTCTGGTGGTCAGGCGATATGTGACCATGGATGAACTTGGGGTCTTCAAACTTGGCCAAGGTGTGCAACACATTCGCAGGGGGGCTGATAAGCCTATCGAAGGCTGTATGAAGCTCCAGGAGCTCGGCGAGCGGCTTTGCCTTGTCGTGTCTTGGAACAACGAAGCAACCCTCTGGCTTGGCCAGGAAGCTCACATTTCTGTCCTCAAAGGGAACGCCTCTGGCCAGAACAGAGTCGGACTCTCGATGGCGCCAGAAGCTGTGGCCTGAGAGCATGCGAACCGGCAGCGTGGTTGTCCATGACCTTGACGCTGAGGGGTCGATGAGCTGAAGGACCTGGTCGGCGGGAGGAGCATTGATGGCCGCACGCCGGGCGATCCATTCGGCCGACCCATTGGCTTCAACCGCAGGCCCTTCGCAGCATCGATCCGGCTTGATTTCGTAAATTGCAACCCCCGTATGCATGAGCTCGAACGCATAGAAGCGTCCGTGGACGGTACGAACAGAGCGATAGACTTGGCCGGTTGCATCGACACCGACCTCAAAGTCGCGGTTGCCAAAGGAGCGCCTGTAGAGGTCGTCGTTGAGAACGGCCTTGGGAAGTCGCCCGGGTGGATTGCCGTTGAGGACAACGCGGCCGGTGAAGATATTGACGGCGTAGTGGTCCCTCTGGTGGGCCGCCTCAAAGCAAGCGACGCTGTCCGGGACAGCCCTCCAGTCGAGATCATCGGGGGCATTCTCAAAAACGGACTGGACGGCATAGGTCAAGGCTTCGTTGCGCCTTGCATTGACCAGGTCACTGATGGCGAGCAGTCGGCGGCTGATAGCCTCTCGACACTGCGTCTTGAGCTTGCGGATTGCCGCGGCGTTTTCAACCTTGGCGTTCTCCACAAAGATGGAGCAGTAATACAGCCGGACGACCCACCGGCAGTAGTTCTTGATATCCACCGAGGCGATCCGGCCAAGGACCGAGCACAAGATCGCATAGCAGAGCATCAAGCTCTCTCTGCCCTGGTGTTCGTTCAGCACAGCCAGCGAAGTCGAGGTCTCTGACTCGAACATGTCTTTGGCTTGGTTGGCCCAGTCGCCGGCAATGGAACCAAACTGCCGACACAGGTCGCAGAAGGCATCGTCAAAGTTGGACAGATATGCCGATATCTCACCCAGGATCAAGATCTTCTGGTGGTCCCGGGGCTTCTCGGCAATCTCCTCGACATAGTCGGCCAAGACTTGGCGAAATCCGCCCAGGCCCTGGTTATCGACGAGATCGCGGCGCCACACCATTTCGGGGGCAATGTGGTTGGAGAGCTCGCCGACCTGGTAGATCGTCTGACGAATGAGCCTTTGGGCGGCCTCGTTGTCCAAGGGCATGACTCGGTCCGACAGGGCCAAGAACAGCTTGCGGAATTGCTGGTGCGGGTACGACCGCAAGCCTCCCATCGCAAGGAACGAGCGCTTCTCCAAGGATACGGGACGCTTGTGAAGCTCGGCGACCGCATAGTTTCCGCGCGCGCATTCCTTCTGAGCATTCGGGTCAGCAGGGTAGCTGATCATCCAGCTGAAGCAGGACATGTCTCGGCCAATACCATCAATGAATCCCATTGTGATGCTGTGTCTGGAAAGGCCAAAGGGGTTGCCGTTGCGCCACATGAGAACCGTCTCTTGCTCAGGGAACCACGAGCACTGGCCTGGGGAGTGAATCGAGTCGACCGAGGCCGGACCGACTTTCTTGGGAGGTTGGATAGTCGAAGTTGCAGCATAGACGACGCGCGGCAGACCCGGGAGATGGGCGGCCCGATTGGAGCGAGAGTTGGTGTGGTATGTCCAACTTGTATGATCGCTCAATTTGCACTCCATCTCAACCAAGTTCCTGTTATCTCCAGAGATCTGGCTATTTTCTGGGCGCAAGGTATTTTGAGCAATGAACCCGGCTTCGGCAAGTCTCACGAGATACCTGGGCATCAAATAGTTGAATATGATCGGCAAGGCCAGATCCTCGCGAGAAGGGAACGGGTTGATGACCGACCTGGGGGTCTTGAGGGTCTCGTTCAAGTCGCTGCGTAGCCGCGAGAGATTGCCACTCAAGCTCGAGATGCGGTTGTCGTCGCTGTGGGTTCTCATGCCGTAGGGTATCTCCTCGGCCTCGGCCAGCCGACTGGAGGTGGAGGTGATCTTCTCGCGGATGCGGTTGGCCTCGTTTACCTTTTTCCGGACCTCTTCATAGTGCTGGGCAGCACGCTGGCTGGCCTGGTCGCACTCGTGCTTCCAAAAGGCCTGGATCTCATTCGAGGTGCGAGAAAACTCGACGGCAAAGGCGTTGTTGTTCGCCTGGTCGTCTCGATGGCGGGTCGAAAAGACCCGTCGCTCCGGGATGTCGTGACTTCGCAGGTACTCCGTCACCAGGGCGAGGGCTTCGAGGGCGTGGTCTTGGTCCAGAACCAGCACACGCAGGTCGTGGTAGTCGATCGCCACTCCATAGCCAGACAGCAGCGGACAGATCTGGAGCCCGGCCTTGTGGAACATTGCAAATGCAATCCAGGTCACCAGCACTCGGAGACTCCTCTGGCGCGGCAACAGGAGGTGGGCAAAGTCGGCCAAGGCGCTGCGCTGGGCATAGAGAGCTTGGTACTCCTCCATGAGGGACCGGAGCGCCTCTCCTTCTTCCTCGATCCACTCGTCTGGGACGACAGGCTCTTTAAGGAGCCTCGCTTGGGCCATCATGAAGTGCTCAATGTGAGCCATGATGTAGGAAATGGAGGTGCCGCTGCCCTTGACTCGTTGGATCCAACTGAGCACATTTCTGAACATGCGTCGGAGGTCGGCCCCGGGCATGTAAAAGGGAGTAATGACCTCGATCTCCTCAAGGGCACGCTTTCGAACGGCCTGGGCGATGGCGGCATGGTCGGCGGCCCTGGGATCAGCGTCGTCGTCGGCGACGGCGCGCGTGATGGTTTGAAAGTTCCGGAGCTCCGACTGCTTGGTGATGGACACGAGAGACTGAACATCGAATTTGTAGCGTGCTTCGAGAGTCTTTCCAAACGAGTCCATTACGGCATCGAGTCTGCCGCGCATGGCCGACACACGGTCGACTCCGGGCTTGATATCGAGCCCGAGCTGCTGATAATCAAAGAGAGTCTCGGCAACTCGCTCGAGGGCATGGAAGATACGGTCGACGCTGCTGCGAAGCGCTCCGGTTTCGGGACGGCCCTCGATTGCGCCGATCTCTTGGTCGATATCGTGGATATGAATATGGAAAAAGACGCGCTGTGCCAAGATTACGTTTTTAACGATGTTGATGCAGGCAACATACACCAACGGGAAAGCTGTCTCGCGACTTGGGCGGTGATCTGGGGTCTTGCCAATGTCCGTGGTTCCGCCTTGGTAGGTCGGTTCGTTGTCGGAGATTTTACCTTCCTTCACGATCGCGATCTTGATGGCAAGATGAACCACGGAGGGAGAGAAGCGAGGGACTGGCATGGGCAAATGCGCGGGAGAGGTTTGTCAGCAGCCGGAGACGAGTGGGCAGGAGGGTGTGGAGATGCGAGCTCAGTCAGCAATCATGAGTTGGGGCAGTCTGCAGGAGGCGCTGGTACATGCAATGGTGATGGGGCCATGTGCATCCCACGCAATTTGCTTACTTTTGCTCAGATGCTTGCCCAACTCCGATTGAGAACTGTGAGCGTTGCTAAGCAACGTATCGACTTGACTCAACAAGTTGGTGACGATTCCGGCCGGCACCAGGCCGCAGGACATGAGACTGAATGTACCTGCTGCAGCTTCGGAGAGGGAACGGGCAGCACTACCACCGGTCGAGCTCTCAAGGGTCCATCCGTCGAGGCTGACGAGCGTCAACAGGACGACGACGCCGTCACGACGCTCCCGGATGAGGAAGCACCCGTAGTTTGGATACCATTTGATGACACGCTTGTCGGCTTTACTGTCTCCGTCACAGTTCAAGGAAGCGAGCAGGAGCTTGATGGCATCGGCCTCTTTGCTGGAGAACGTATAAAAGCTCGTTTCGGGCCGCTCCTCGTGCTGATGCTCCGGCAGACGGTTGTGGCAAAAGTCACTGAGCTTTGCGAGCCAGGCGACTATGGCCTGCTCACCTTGCTGCGGATCGGGTAGAAGAGCAGGCTGGATTGGGTTGGACTGCATGATGACAGTCGTAGGTGAGGCCGACGTAGTGGAAGCGGGCTCGGTCGAGACTGGCATATTGACGGGTGCTGTGAACCAGTGCGACGCAGTAGTGAGTGTGCCATTCGGCTGTGACTGGGAGCAGGTCAAACAGTCCATCAAAGCACATGTCAAGATTGCTGGGCAACCGTCACTTACGAATGATGGCAGGCAGGAGAAAAGGGGATCGAGAATAATACTCTGTGTGACGGTGGGGGAGTGTGTCTCTGAGAGCGGGCGGCAAATAGGACAGAATGCAGTTCAGCGCTTGGGAGGCGGCAAGGTCTTGTGGCGAGCGACTGGAGACGGGTCTTGGAGGGGAAGGCGTTGAGGATGATACAGGTCACTTCGAGTTGGTCGATATCGAGGAAGACTTCAAGGGGAGCGGTTTTGCTGATCTCTGGGAAGCGATTTGGCGTCTTGGTTCTTGGCTCTTGGCTCTTGGTTCTTGGCTCGTGGCTCTTGGTCGCTGCTGGTGGCGATGGGGAGGCTCTCTGGTGAGGGCAGGCTATTTATGCCCGGTGGCTCTGATGGAGAAAGGACTGAAAACGAGCAAATTTGTGGTCGTGGAGCAGATGATGGCGTGATCGAAGAGTTGCCCGCACCATAGGATACCAGCGGACGGACTGGGGGTGGCGAGAACGGGAACGGCCAGACGGGACTGAGCTTGACACTGGTCGCCTCGCGGGAGGGGATTGACTCTCGGATGAGACTGGCGACAGCGGCCTCTGGGGTGGGGGGGAGGGAAGAGAAAGACGAGATGGGGTCGCCGGATACCCAAGCACTGAGGGAAGATCGATGCATGATCAAAGCGCAGTGGGTGGCGTGAGGACGAAACGAACCACGAAACGAACCACGAAACGAACCACGAGACAGGCGACGAGACGGGCGACGAGACGAGCGACGAGACGGGCAACGAGACGAGCGACGAGACGGGCAACGAGACGAGCGACGAGACGGACACAACCTGACAAATTTTCGCCGCCGGGATCCAGAAGTTTGGATGCCAGCCGAGACAAGTCATGACAAGCCGAGACGGGCCGAGCCGGGCCGAGCGACAGCCAGGAGCATGGCTTGGAACGATAAGATATCGCAGAAGGGGATGTGGAGACTTGGGGACATGGTCATGAGCACGCCGCGAGAACAGAGCGCGCGTATGGGCTTGGGCAGCCTCGACGATTTGGAGCAAGCGGGAACGGAATATGGATCGAGAGGGATTGTAATTCGGAGAGATGGTGGGGAGTGAGAATCGAGAGATTGGAGGCGATGCACTTGATACCCAGCGCGGGTTGGGGCTAAGCCGATGGGTGGACACTGAACCGATGGAGAGCAGTGGAGGACGGACGAACATTGTATCGATCGGAGAGCAGTGGAGGACGGGTGAACATTGTATCGATCAGATAGAAGTACACATGCTGTGCATCGGCGAGGGGGGTCGTTACGGCGGGTTTTGTCGATTTTGTGGGTACTGTAGCCTAGCACGAGCAGCCATGCTGGCTAACGACTGAGTTAACGCCTGAGTTAACGACTGAGTTAACGACCGAGTTAACGCCTGCATTGGCGACTGTATTTGCACACATGAACAACATGCAACATGAACAGCATGCAACATGAACAGCATGCAACATGAACAGCATGCAATGTGAACAACATGCGATCGCTCGTAACGACATCGCGAGTCTGCGAATGTCAAGATCGACAGCCATCCGGGTCGGTCGCTGCGCCAGTCCCGTCCCGCCATGTTGCTTTCCGTCGCGGTCGCACATGAGCGACATGGCATTCGGCTCCCCCACCGCCCGCTCGTCCGGCTGCCCTGGCCGACCATCGGGCTGCGTCTCCATCGACCATCGGCTGCATTCGGCTGCTTTGGTTGTCAAAGCTCGACAGTCTGCGTCCACCTCAGTGCCTCGTCCATTTGAACTCCATTTGACATCCATTTGCCCTCCACTTGACACCTCCTCGGCCTCCGTCCATCGCATTTCGCACCCCACTCTCCGCCCCCATTTGACACCCATCCGACATCCATCTGACACTCATCCGACATCCATCCGACATCCACCGCCGCCGGCGATACCTTCATTTGCTCTACTTCCCTCTGCTGTCCTCTGGCCCATGGCTGCTCGCATTGGCTGCAGCGGGCGTTGTCCCCAGTCCCGTTGCGTCTGCACCGACGACGGCTCCTCCCTCGAGTCGCTCTTCTTGGTGGTCGACCTTAGTATCGACTACCTGGGCCCTGTCGAGTGGACCAAGCTCGGCGCTCTCTCGAGCAAGTCCCGCCGGGTTCTCTCGGCCCCCATGTACTGGAGAATCATCTTCCGCAACTACTTTGGCCTCTCGGTTGTTCCGTCGCTGGAGGACCCGCCATCTCGTCCAGAGCAATCTCTCCGCTCGCAACAACCCCTCCACCGGCCTGCCCAGCAATGGCTTCACCGGATTGTCGTCGGTGCCGATGCCTTTCTCAACCGCTTGGGCAGCGTCCCATACCCTTGCGAGTCGCACCTCTGGAGGGCTGTGTCCAGGAGCCCAGTGCTCCTCGCCCAGGTCAAGACCATGTGCATGGCCCACGAGCCGCTGCTCTTCCGTCGCTGGCCTCACTCCCATCTCCTCGGCAGCGAGCGACCCCGCCGTCTCTACGAATGGGAGCGCCATGGGACTCTGCCGGACTCGGTGGGCCTGTATGAGATGGCGAGCTATGGCCTCTACGGCTGCCAGCTCGTCGAAGTGCCAGAGACCATATGTTTCTGGAACCCAACGAAGCTCATCATCTCCTCCAAATGCCTCAAGCGCCTGCCCCTGTCGATGGGCTGCATGCTGACGACGCTGGAGCAGCTTGCTGTGTGCTTTGCCCCCTTTACCCACCTTCCTGAATCCTTTGCAGTGAGGACCTCGCTGCCGGTGTTGCAGTCCGCCAGCCCCGGATGCGACAGATCCGCTCGTGAATCCGCCGGCGATCCAAATGAGCCTACGGTCGAAGCAAACGACCTGGCTGTGGTGGAGCATCCGTTGCCAGAGCATTCCTTGCCGAATCGTCTCGTTGCGACACTCCATTCCCCGCCTCCGAGTGTCGGCTCGCTGGATCCGCCCTTGAAGCTGCTCGATCTCGCCGGCAGCTCCCTCCTCGAGTCGATCGACCCCATCGCCGGCCTCGGACGCTTGACCCAGCTCAGTCTCTCTGGCTGCAAATCGCTCAGTTCAATCACAGCCCTTGTGAAGCTGTCGGCCCTCACCAGCCTCAACCTAGAAGGATGCTGCCAACTCACCTCGTTGGCTCCGCTGTCGGGTCTGCAGGCCCTTGCCGACCTGACGCTGACGGGATGTGTGGGCCTGGAGAGCATCGATCCGCTCGCAGGCTTGATCCGGCTCGAAAACCTGTTTCTGAACGACTGCATCGCCCTCCGATCGATCGACCCCATCGTGGCACTTCCGCGACTGGCGATACTCTCGATTTCGGGCTGCTCGGCACTCGAGCCCAGCAGCAAAATGGGTAGCATGGTATCGCTGAGGGAGCTGGATGTGCATCTCTGGAACCGCCTGGACAATGTCGAATGGGTCGCGGGCCTGAAGAACCTCAGGCGGCTCAACCTGGTCAGCAGCTCGCGACTGCGGTCCCTGGCGCCGCTGGAACATGCGACCAGCCTGCAGGTCGTTTTGTTGGGCGGATGCTGCCTGCTTGACTCGCTGGAGCCGCTCGGTCGACTGCCGGCTCTGCGGCTCGTGGTTCTGTGCCCGGAACATCAGATCCAGAACCAGAGCGGCTGCATCGAGCAGCTGTCGGCGATGCGAGACGAGGCGGACAGGGCGGCGATCCGGTATATGTGCTATGCACACTGCCATTGCGGCTAGCGCCCGAATGACATGGCTGTGCTGTGGATCGTGCGTTGCAGATCACCGGTTGCGGCTGCCAGTTGTGGCTGTCGGTTGTGGCTGTCGGTTGTGGCTGTCGGTTGTGTATCATAAGTTGTGTATCATAAGTTGTGTTGTCGATTTGTGTCTAATTACCCTTGACTTTGTTGGCCATCGAGTGTCTGTCGCATGAAATAGAGCCTGCGCGATGCACTTGGCTGCCTTCGCTCGTCATGACTGACTCATAGCCAACAGACCCAGCGTGCGGGCACACACGTGTTGTCCCGGTGGGCGCGGCTGCGCAGCCGGCCTGTGGCATTTGTGCGCTCCGCCGTCCGGCCGCGCCGATGACAACACGGCGCTTCGACTCCTGTCTGCCCGAAGCCTGTTCATCACCATCTGCTCACCATCTGCTCACCATCTGTTCATCACCATCTGTTCATCACCATCTGTTCATCATCTGCTCCGGAGCACCACCACTGCCGCCGCGACTGTAGCCGGCACACGCTCATCGCAACGGACCATCCCAAGACTCACCAGCTCCAACCCGTCGCATCCTGGCTCAACCCATCAATCCCGTCTGCCCAGCGATCAGCCTGCCGTAGAGGAACCGTCCAGACGCTCTACTGGACACCATGGACGCCGCACACCCGGTCCTGCTTCTGTTTTACCTCATCATTGACTGGCTTGGCCCCGTCGAGTGGACCAAACTCTGCTCGCTCTCGCGGCGCCACCGAGCATTGCTGGACGACCCGCTCTTCTGGAAGATCCTCTTCCGCAACCATCTGTCTCTTGCACCAAGTCTGCTCCTGGACGGCCACCGAGACATCTGCATTGCCGTCGACGCCTTCCTGTTCCGCCGACGCGCTCAGCCGCACGACTGTGAGCAACCTCTCTGGCAGTCCATCCACCAGCACCCCGAGCTCTCGGATGCCCTTCGACGACTCTGCCAGCATCACGCTCGTGGGCTCTTTCGCCGATGGACCCGGGCACGACAATATGCCCACGTTACCGGAGTGCCCGTCTGGAACTGGTCGCTTGAAGAGACGCTGCCGGACTCGATCGGAACGGCTGCCCTGGAGGACAGCAAGCTCAACCGCCTCGCAAGGCGGTGTCGGATCCTGCCTCAAACCGCCTGTTTCTGGCGGCCCGAAGAGCTTGATATCGAGGCCAGTGAGCTCGCGGAGCTGCCGGCGGCGATGGGGTGCTGGGCCGGCTCCCTGAGGACTCTCAGGATTGCGTCGTCTCGGCTGGCGGCCCTGCCCAGCTCGTTCTTTGCCGCATTCAATCGCACACCGCACTCTTCCTACGGCTCGGCGGCCTCAGCTGAAGCACGCAATCCGAGAACAGCCATCGACACCCCCTTGTCGGTCGGGACCGCCACATCGTCCGCAACTCCCGCATCAACAACAGCCGACCCATCGAGTCGACTGTTGCCTCCCAATGCAGCCATGCTGTCCAAGTCGAATCCAGGCGCCAACTGCCACGCCTCCAACATGCCCCCTGGTTGTCCCCTGCAAGTCCTTGTGCTGTCGTGCTGCTCCTCTCTCAACAACATCGCTGCCTTGGACGGCCTCGCTCGCCTGCAAGTCATCGACCTGTCTCGCTGCATCTCCATGACGCACTGCGGTCCGCTGAAGAACCTCGAGCAGCTCCGCTCCTTGTCGCTGGTGGAGTGCATCTCGCTCACCAGCCTGTCGCTCAGCAATCTTCCGCGGCTCCAAACCTTAAACATGCGTGGCTGCCGCGCACTAGAGTCAGTCGACTCGCTCGATGGCCTCGTCTCTCTCACCGACCTCGACTGCTCCGGATGCGGCGTATTGCGGACAGTGGGCTCCCTCAGCGCCCTTGAAGCACTCGTCCAAGTCGACTTTTCGGATTGCCGATCGCTGCTGTGGGTTGGTGGCCTCGACCGACTGGTTCGGCTGGCAGCCTTGAGGCTCGGCGGCTGCGCCCGACTGCCCTTCATCGGGTCCCTCGAGCGCATGACCAACATGACCCACCTGAATCTCTCGGGGTGTGTGTCGCTGGAGGCAGTGGGCCCGCTGGACGGTCTCCTGCAACTCCGGCGGCTCGAGGCTCGCGGATGCACAATGCTTGGATCGCTGGGGTCGCTCGCGCAGCTGTCGCTCCTGAAGAAGCTCGATCTCGCCGGCTGCACAAGCCTGCGCTCCATCGACTGTCTGGGCGACTTGCCGTGTCTGCGGGAACTGGACATGTCTGGATGCAAATCTCTCAGGTCACTGCGACTGCCACGGCTTCCTCTCGCTGTCGAGGAGCTTGTTATGACTGGCTGTGAGTCGCTGTCCGATATTCGGACGATCAATCGCCAGCTGCCGCGGCTCGAACGCCTCGATCTTTCCGGATGCTGGTCCCTCGAGTCGATCGGCACTCTCGAGGGCTTGGATCGGCTGCAGAGCTTGGATCTGTCGGGGTGCTGGCGCCTCAAGCACATTGGATCGCTCGAGTCGTCGACGCGACTGACCAGCATCAACTGCCACGGATGCGCCTTGCTGCAAGGACTCGGGCCGCTCCCTGCACTGGCAACGCTCGAGATGCTGGATCTGTGGGGCTGCAGATCTTTGTCCTGGGCAGAATCCGAGGTGCCGACCCAGCCAATGGCAAGACGGTTTAGGATGACTAGAGCAAGCACCGCCACATCGCATGGGGCCTGCCTGGAGACACTCGCACTCGGCCGATCCGATGATGTTGCTGGCGACAACACACACGGGCTGCAGATGGACGAATTAGCCATGGATACGCACAGTCTATGGGCAACAGCAAATCCCCAGGATATTGCACAATCAGCTCCGCACTGCGACTTCCCTAGGCCCGGGTTACCCTCGTCAGCAAAGGAAACGTTGTCGCCGCAACTCTTCCAGCCATGTCATCTCCCAGCAGTCGATGCACTGGCTGCTTCGCTTGGCAGCCTGCGCAAGCTGGATCTGACCGACTGTCGCTATGCTGTCCGCCTCGACTCCATCCTCGCCCTCTCCGAGCTTGAGGAGCTGGCGGTGTCGTTCTGCCCTGGCCTCCGCTCGCTCGAGCCGTTTGCCCGGCTTGCACGGATCAAATATCTGTCCGTCACCAAGTGTGATTCTCTCGACTCGCTCCGTGGTCTCCGACAGTTGACAGCCCTCGAATCACTTGTTGCAAGACAGAATGCTCAATTGCGTCTGCCACACGACAGCCATCTGCTTGGGCCCCCAATGCTCCGGTGCCTAGACCTGGGCCAATGTGGGCAGCTGACGACCACAGCGTCGCTTGCGAGGCTGTTTGCACTGGAGATCTTGGACCTGTCTGGTTGCCAGGCTCTCGACACACTTGCCGGGCTTGAAGAGCTGCCGGGCTTGCGAGTGCTGGATATCTCGCGGTGCCCTTCGCTCACATCGACCAGTTCGCTCGCTGGGATCGCGAGCATCGAAGTTCTGTCGATGGCACGGAGCTCTGCCGCGGCACTCTCTTCTGCGCGACTGCTTGCTGCCCAGCTGTCGCAGCTCTCGGTCCTGGACCTCAGCCCAACAGACCTGCGCCTCGATCTGGACTTGGAGACCCAAGAACTGATGCAGATTCGAGCGCAGCGCAACTTGCCGGCCATGAGCGTGAGTTGGCTGCTCGATCTGCCTCCGCGGGCGGTGGACATGACCGAGCCGATGGCAAAGGCGGCCAGCAATCAGAGTCCGTCGGGGATCTTCGCACCGACCGCGGATCGAGGACAGGCCCTGGGCAGCTGTGCAAGCTGAAACTCATCAAACACGATATCGGCCCAAGCGGCGCCTAATAAGACCTGTGAATACACTGATCCATTCTCATAACGAACGTATCGGGCAGCGATGCACAGCCTATACAATACTTCATCGATCCCGAGTGTGTCGAACGAGCTCAAGGAGAAACAGGGATTTGCTGATGTTGTGGCCGAGACCGCGCAGGCATCCTCCCAGCTCACCCTGCTCGAGACATCGCATGTGTTTTCGATTCAGCGAGACTTGCGACGACCGGAGAGCCATGCGTTGCCGACCGAAGGGATCGGACGCAACGCTCCAAGAAGGAGAGCTTGACGATAAACAAGAATCGCCGTTCAGTTGTGATTGTTGAACATGCATATATGTGTACCACAACGCAAGCGAAACCCCGTCCATGGATCCCCTGAGCCACCAAACAGACGAAACATGAAGCTTTGAATGATCATGGTTTCATTGCCATTTCCGCTGGATCAACCTGATGCGCCAGTGTCAGAGTTGATCCAAACGGAGCTGTGTATTGATACAGGCCGATGGTGGGTCAAAGCCACACGCCGAGATGCTTGAGTGTGTTGAGGGCCTGGTGGTCTTTCTGCTGGGCAGCCTTGCGGTACCAGAAGACGGCGGTGTCAATGTCCGCGGCAGCACCTCGTCCGGTCTGGTAGCAGTCCCCGAGGCAGCACTGGCCCTGCCGATTGTTCTGCTCAGCCGACTTGCGGTACCACTCAAATGCTTTGGCATGGTCGACGGCGACACCATATCCCCAGCGATAGCACGTCCCAACCATGGTCTGTGCATACGAGCTGTCTTGATCGGCCGACTGGCTGAACCACTTGAATGCCTTTGACTCGTTCGACGAGATTCCCTCGCCAAAGTAGTGGCATCTGCCGATCCAAAACTGGCTATCGCTGTGACCTTCAGCGGCGAGTTGCTCGAATATGCCAGCTGCGCTGCTCTGGTCCCTCGCGACTCCGAAGCCGTTGAACAGACACACCGCCATCAGATGCTTGCAGAGCCAGTCTCGATCGGATCCGAGCTGGCACAGATCGAAGAACTTGCGTGCCGCCGCGGTTGTGGATGATATGGGAGACCACACGGACAGACAGTTGCTCTCCCAGAGGAGAAAGTCGTCTGACATGTTGTCGCGGATGAGCTTGACGCCCTTCTGCTTGTTGCGCATGGTGCCTCGGCCAAGGTAGTGCATCCACCCGAGCATGTGGGTGGCGATGAGTTTGAGGACCGGGTCGGTGGACTGGGTGCTCACTTCCTGCCAGTGGTGGAAGGCATCGGCGTCGCTCTGTTCGACACCATGGCCGATGAACGAGAACCAGGCTCGGAGGAACACGATATGGAGTCGACCATCCTCGCTGCCCTGGTCGGCGGCCTTGGAATACCACTCGATGGCTGAGTCAAAGCCTTGATCGACACCTTCGCCTCCCTCGAAGCAGCGACCGAGTCCGACTTGAGCTCGCGGATATCCTTGGATGGCTGCCTGGCGATAC